GAGGGCTTTCTCCTTTCTATCCTTACCCCTTGAGGTTTTTTAATTTTGACCTTCTTGGCTATTCTCCCATTAGTTTGTGGGTTTGCTACACCATCCAGAATTGTAAATGTTACCCAAGAAATTAGCCTCCTCAGTATCTCGAGGTTTTGTTGATGGATCTTGTGTCCTTGGAAAGAATTTCATTTGCTTTGACAGAGTTTCTAACTTATTTGTTATTGAGTCGCTACTTTTTGCTTTGTAGATTGGAGCAGCTTCCTTCTTTTTGCTTTTGTGATGGTTTGTATACCATTAGAAATTACTAGATGTTATTTTTTCTAACAATGTATGGACTGCAGTTGGCCCCTTGCATAGGAAAGATTCTCCAACAGCTGCATCAATTGTAGCTCTATTAGAAGATGAGAGTCCAGCATGAAAAATCGGTATTTGCTTCCACATAGGGAAACCATGATGTGGACATCTCCTTAGAAATTCTCTAAAGCGCTTTCACCTCTCAAATAGAGATTCAGACTCATGTTGAAAATTAGAGCTATCTATCATCAGCTTCGCAGAGAGTAATTGTGAGAAATATTTGGCTAAGAATTGTTGTGTCAGGTCATCCCACGTTGTAATTAAATTAGATTGAAGTGTAGAGAACCATGCGTTCACCCTTTCCGTGACAGAGAATGGAAAGAGGCGAAGCCTTATAGCATCTTTGGTGACACCATTATATTTGATGGTATCAGTGAGTTGGAGAAACTTTTTCAGATGAAGGTAGGGTCTTCCTCAGGTTGTCCTAAAAATAGTGTGGAGTTCTAGACTAGATTGATCAAGGCTGGTTTTAATTCAAAACTATTAGCCTCTATGTCAAGTGCTACAATGCTCCTAGCATCACCATCAGTAGTGGATGTCATGTACTCTAAGATTAGTCATTCTTCTGCCATCTTTTCATTTACTCTACACTCCTTCCTTAGCCTATGTGCGGTCTTCTCGATTTTTGGATCAAAAGCGAGTTTTGCAATAGGTTTAGAATGAGTGAGCATAAAACAAAATAAAAATAAAAATGTTTAAATAATCTAAATACTCGATTTTCTTTGATATTGAAAACTAATCCCCGGCAACAGCACCAAAAACTTGTTTGTAGCCAAGTGTACCTATCAAAAAGTAATAAAGAGTTTTCGAATTAAGAGTTCCCAAGTTATCGTCCGACAGAGATTATTTTCAAGTACCAAAAATAACTTAATTTGATTGTTTAAACGTAATGGGATTGTAACGAATCAAAAACAGAGCTTAATTTTAACAATAAATTAAAAGAATAGTAATACAATGTATGAGAGATATCAGATGAGATAAGCCTAGAACTTATGGGTTTCCTACTACACTTCTTTTGTATTCTAATTAATTTAATCATGATATTGGTATCCAAATATTTTCCAACCACTCATAATAAGTTCTATTAACACCAAATGATCATGTAAGGTAATTGGTCGAGAAAATATGAAGATCCTATGAGTTTGTTAATTCAATAACGGCTGAAAGGGAGGAATTATGTATGATTAACCTAGCTCCTTATCTCGTTTTATCCTATAGTTTCGTTAATTACATGTGGTATGATCGCCTATAATGCAGCTAATTATGGAGTGTTAAAGGTAATCAAATCTTAACATACACAATATAATCCAATAGAATAAAAACTAAACATTAAAGGAAAACTAATACCAACATTAAAGTAAAAATCACACAAAGTTTGCAGTAGGATCCGTCATAGCCCTAGCTATGAGTTTAGTTACTCATAACAAAATAAACTACGAAGAACGTAATAAATAAACTCATAACCACAAAGAAAAACTCAAACAAAAGAAACCCAGAAAGGTAAAAGATGAAGAGAGTTCTCGTTCTTCGAAGGGCGCTCAATCATTTGCTTAGATTCCAAGAGAAAGCTCGTCGTCCTTTCCAATGATCTCCAATGACTCTCAAAGATGAGTTTGGTTAGAACTAAGAAGAGGAATAAGGTGTGTAGAGAAGTCGAAGTATCTCAAGTGTGGAGCATAAGGCCTCTTTATATAGATTGTGCCCTAAGTTTCCAGTCAGTTGAGCTCTATCTTTTCAAATCAGTTTTATCCATAATTAGAATCGCTCTAAATCTTCATATCTAAGTTTAAATTTTAAATTCAAAATTCAAACTCAACTTCACATAGCACTCCCAAGGACTAAAAATATCTAATTTTTATCCGGAATATTTCCATAATGCACTAATAATAACTTCCAGCTAAATTGCAATAATTAATAACATAATTAGTGTAAATATATATAAAATAGAGTTTAAGTGTATAAATATAAGTTATAAACTATATCAAAATACGAACTTATCAGCGAACATTTCTTACTCACCTTGACCTAAATACATGGAAGAAACCCATGAAAACCCAAGAAAATCGAGAAATCAGAGGATGCAGATGAGAAACCAAAACCCTAACCATTCAAACTCACCTCCAAGCGTTCTCTATACAAATCTAACCTTCAATCTTGCTCCCAAGCGGCTTGGAGGCAATTTAATCAGTGAAATAGGATTTGGGAGTGAGAGAATTGAAGAAATCTCAAAGGGAAAGTGAGAAATGAAACTTCTCCAAACCCTAACCCCTTTAAATCCTTTTCTAGTTTCGACACTCTCGCTACAATAAGATATTCTCGCTGCAACGACACTCCTTATCGCTACAGTGAAAATATCAGAGAAAATTACACCCTGGTTTCTGCATATTCTTGCTACAGCGAGACTAGCTATAGCAACAAGGCGACAATTTCACCCCTTTCTCCCAGTGTCTTCTCGCTACAGCAAGAACGACACAGTTTCATGCCTCATGCCTAGAACTCTCTCAGTACAGCGATAATCCTCTCGCTACAGCTAGAATGCCCTACAGCAGCATCCGCACTTAGCCTGTATAATACACACACACACACACACACACACATATATATATATATATATATATATATATCATCCTCATGTCAATTAACACACCTCATAGGGCAAATTGACACACCAATATATATACTTTAATAATTAAACAATATTACAAAATTTGGGACGTTACATTGCACCGGCGATGACTCTCCACCCTCGTTTAGAAGCCTGCCAGGAGCCGCTCATTATTCGTGCCACAATGCATTGGCGATCACTCCCCACCCTCGCCTAGCGACTAGATATTACACTTGAGGGCTTAGATCTCCTCACTATTAGGTAATAGAAACTTTAGAAAAGAGAAATTAAAGAAATAAGAAGTTGAGTTGGAGAAATCCCAAAAACTCACCTAGATCCGCACTAAATAGAGGTTCCTACTTGGATCGGGAAGAAGTATCGCCTTGAGAAAGTTTTCTCTAAGGGAAGAAGGTGAGAGAATAGAGAGAAAATGAGAATAGAAGGTTGTCTGGTGAGAAATGAATGTTTTTCTACGTTGGGGATCCTTAAATACCTCTCCAGGTCCCCGCGCTTTTGCTTAAGCGAGCCCTACTCTCACTTGGACAAAAAAACCAAATATTGAAACTACCTAATTTTCTACTATTCTCGCATGAGCAAGAGACATCTCGCTTGAGTAAGAAGCATTCTCGCCTGAGTGAGATTAAGTATAGAAAGCTACCTATTTTTCCTGTGACTCCTTACCTACACAAGCTGCTCTTACCTGAGCGAAGTCGCTTCTCACCTAAGCAAGATCCCTTTTTTTCCTGGGTGAGAGGACAGCTAGGTAGGTCTTATCATGTCTCGCTTGAGCGAGATTAATCTTGGTTGAATGAGAATACTCCAAAATATCCAATTCAGCACAATTCAATCTTGCTTGAGCACACTTGCATCCAAAACTCGTGATTCTTCCAAGAATGAGGCAATACAAGTCCTGGCTATAATTCTTAGGTTATCATTCACATATCACACCTAATGGTTGATCTCAAATCCTCACAACTAACTATATCAAACATAGCAACCTCTCAACACTGCAAATACACAGCTCACACATACATAATCCAAGTCATTTCATAATGTTATTAACATACTACATCACATTCAACATACACCTAATGCTCGATTCTATTAAGTATCGTTCTTAGAAGTGGCTCACAACAGGACCTTTGAAAGCTTGATTGTGCATGTGAATTAGATTTACGATCCCTTAATATGTCTTATTAATTCTTTTTAGAAATGTAATAGGTTAGAGTACCTTTGTATTCTAATTTTATCTTTAATAAACATTAATAAATGTTAATGTTTAATTAAAAAAATAATACATATAGACTACTAACTAATATAATTTAATTTTGATGCACTTTCAATATAAAGATTTTCATATTGTTAACCAATTAGAATATATCTTAGATGTAATCAATATTTATATTATAAATAAGCTATCAAAAGTATTTGGTATAATTACTATCTTAATTAAGATTAACAGTGAATAATTTTACTGTAATGATTTCATTTTTATTTATTTTTTAAATTTTAAAAATAAAAATTATTATTTAAATTTCTTTATTATTTTATCTAAACTTTCATATTATTTATGAAAGTTTATGTTTATATTTATAAAATTTATGTTATTACTTTATATAAACTTTCAATTTTTTGCATAAAAATTTATGTTTACATTTATAAATTCATAATATTTAATGTATTACTTATTATACTCACTAAAAACTATAATAAGTAATATTCATAATATTAAATATTATTTATTTAATGTATTACTTAATGTTGGTATTCAATTTAATATAAATAAAAGAATAAATTAAAAAAATATCACCATCAATTTGGGGAAAAACATTTGTCATAAATGCTATTTTACTTTATATATATAAAAATGTATTGGTGGATAAGAGCAAAGCTTGACATATGGAATAGAAAATTTGAGAACTAAAACATGAGGCCTTCTCTATTAAAGGTGGGTTATTTGGATAATTTGAAAGGAGAGAGGAATAGCATTAGCATAGTTGTTTTGGGTGAGAAATCAAATTGCTTGCTTTATTAATTGGTGCTCTCAATGGAAGAGGGAAGGGTGGTGAGTGAGTACACTCAAGATGGCACTGTGGATCTCAAAGGGAAACCCATTCTCAAATCCAAAAGCGGTGGTTGGAAAGCTTGCTCTTTTCTTCTTGGTACCCTTTCTCTCTCTCTCTCTCTCTCCCATGGTTTCTCTTTCTCAAATCCCATTCTCAATTATTTGTTCTCTAATAATCTTTGTGAAAGAGAGGATTCATCAATCTTTGTATATATATATATATATATATAATCACGATAAGATCAATTCCTTTCATATGCCAAATTCTGTAAAATGATATTTTAAAAAAATAAAAATTTTAATCTACTAATTAATTTATAAAATTGTTTAATATTTCATTGTATCACCTTATTTAATTTTTGTAATATATAAGTAGACTTTTTATTATTAAATTATATATTTATAAATACTTAAATTATTTAAAACTTCGTATAAATAATTATTAAAATACTATAACATGACACGATTAAATATTTAATGAATAAAATTTAACATATTTAATAAGTTCTTAAAGGTATTATTTTATAAACATTAATTAATAATATTTCATTTTTATATATTGTTTTCTGATGGCTGTAGTTCTGAATATTGCATAGGTATTAACCCATTTTGTTACAAGAGTAAAGCAAACTTGTTTATTAATTGAGCCTCGTTATTTTATCTTTTAAAATTGGTTTTTTTTTTTCTTTGGGTGTTCCTTATATTTAGTGTCACAAATTAGTCAACTCTTTGTCATTAATGTGTTTGGCGCTGAGTATTTATTTATAGTAAGGTTATCTAACTTTTGCACTTATTCACATATAATAAATAAATAAATTTTAACTCTTTTCTTTCAAAAAATAAGGTTTGACTAGAAGTCTAGAATATTGAAATAAGGGATTGAAATAAAATTTTAATTTTAACAAGAGAAAAATAAAAAAAAATTATAATATAATACTGTATTAAATTTGGTCAATAATAATAATTTTTCTTTTCCTTGAAAGATAACAAAGATATACAAGTGGGGGGGAAAAAAAGTCAAACATACACAAGTTTATTATATATATACATTCGTTCATGCAAAAATCATATTATAATATACTAGTACATTCAATAAAAGAAATCAAAATAAGGTTCATAGCATAATATTCATCGTAGTCTTATTTATGCATTTAATTACACATAGTAAAACTCAAAATCAAAAGAGAAAATATTTCTTAACTTGTATTATGCAAGAGTTAAATATATATTTATATGTAATTAATATATAATAAATATATTTAATAAAAGTAATATAAAACTAAAAGTGTATTTTATATTAAATATTATTTTATGTGCAATATATTTTTAGTGATATTAATATTTTTATGGAACCTATATATTAATGTTTATACGTAAAGATTTTATTTTCATGATTATTAATTTATTTTACGTGTAAGCTTTTCATTACTTATGACACAAATTTATGCTAATAAATTTTGTAAGAATTTTATTTTAATGAAATATAAATAGTTATATTAGTAATTAAGTATTAATATATTTTTAATTATGATCCAATATAGGTAAAGTTTTAAGAAATTTTTATAAAAAAAAAAAGTATAAAAATAAATATATTTTTGATAAATTAGATATAATTTATATTTTTTTACGTTTTTAATAATATTTCTTATTAACTTTTCTAAATTTTGCAAAAATAAGTTATTTTTAACTTAAGAGAAAATTTTATTTATTTTTATATTAATTTTATAAAAAATTCTTTAAAATTTACTCAAACTAAACGAAATTTCACATTTATGATATTTATATATTTTTTCCTGAATTAAATGTGCTCGATATAAATTTTTATATTGAGCGCATTTATATCACAAATGCTTTGGTGATTTCTAACTTTATAATGCAGTTATTAATATATTATAATTTTAATTTATATTGAAAGGTCCGCTTTACGTGTGCTTTGATTAAATGTTTGTATTGCTATATTATATAAATATTAATATTAATGTCTAAAATATTAATATAATGTTATGTAAAGTTTTTATGCATGCGTAGTATAAATATTTTCTCTTCTAAAATTCAGTTAAAGAATTCATAATTTATTTAAATTTCTATATATAAATTTTAAAAACTTGTAAAGTTTAAAAATTATGATTAATTTTTAATATTATTTTTTCCTAATTTCTAATTTAAATAAAGGAAAATTTTCAGTTTCCAACAAAAATATTTGGATTTTTTAAAATATAAAAAAAAAATTCTAAGTTTTCACATATTTTATGAATCGTACTTGTAATAAAATAGTGATTATATATGAATGTAAAGTGATCACATCTCTCATTTAGATGACAATACCATTTATTAATATGGTTAACTTTATAAAAATTTTGGTCAATATATATAAAAATATCTACATCTTTTTAAAAACTTATGAATCTAAATATTATAAAATAAACATTTTATAATGAATAAATAATAAAGGAAAAAGGGTTAATAAATTTTATTTGAATGAATAGTAAATTGGGTGAATAAAATAATAAAAAAGAGGAAAAAATATAATTTAACTTTAATGAATAATGATTCTTGAAGTTTTCCTTTACAAATAATAGATTTCTCACAAGGTTGTGAATATGTACTTGATTGGATTGAATAAATTCATGGCATGCATATTTCATGCAGTATATGAGGTATTTGATAGAATGAATTATTATGGGATTTCATCAAATTTGGTGCTGTATCTTACAAAGAAGCTTCACCAAGGCACTGTGACTTCTTCTGACAATGTCAACAACTGGGGTGGCACCATTTGGATTGCTCCCATATTAGGTGCTTATGTTGCTGATGCTCACCTTGGCCGCTATTGGACTTTTGTCATTGCTTCTTTTATCTATCTATTGGTATGTCTTTCTACACATTTCAATTCTCCCATTGTGATTGTAGTTTGTTTCTTGTCACATTGGTAAGGATATGGTTATCATATCAATTAAGACTATTTACATTAATAGAATATTACAACTATTTTTTTAAAAAAAATTATTTATTTATTATAATAAATAAATTTTTAGGAGTCCAATAATCTTGAATTGTGTATTGTTAGGGATGAGTTGTGATGTTAAGTTGTTAATCCTTTTAGATTGGTTGAAAAGTTTACGAGTACACTGGCATTGGCAGGGTATGTGTCTGCTTACACTGTCAGTTTCTCTTCCAAGCCTAAAGCCACCAGAGTGCCATGAAACGGATGTGACAAAATGCAAGAAAGCCTCCACACTGCAGCTAGCTGTGTTCTATGGTGCACTCTACATCTTAGCAGTGGGAACCGGTGGAACCAAGCCCAACATTTCCACCATTGGTGCTGACCAGTTTGATGATTTTGACCCCAAGGAGAAGGCACATAAGCTTTCATTCTTCAACTGGTGGTTTTCCAGCATCTTCATAGGGACCATATTTTCATTCACAGTACTAGTTTATATACAAGATAATGTGAGTTGGAGCCTTGGTTATGGAATTCCAACTATTGGCCTAGCAATATCAATCATCATATTCCTGGCAGGCACACCCCTCTATAGACACAAATTGGTCTCAGGGAGTCCCTTCACTAGAATGGCCAAGGTCATAGTGGCTGCTTTAAGGAAAAGGAAGGTAACTATTCCTAAGGACCCTACAGAACTATATGAGGTTGATCTTGAAGAGCATACAAATAAAAGGAAATTCAGGATTAACTCCACTCCCACATTGAGGTACTAATTCTATTCTAGCCTATTTTCTCATCCATTTGATGTGTGATTTTACAATGAAATGATGTTTGATACAAAATACATATGCAGGTTCCTCAACAAGGCTTGTGTCAAAACTGGTTCAAGTACTAGTGAATGGATGTTATGCTCAGTTACTCAAGTGGAGGAAACTAAACAAATCCTACGGATGATCCCCATCTGGGTTGCTACATTTATTCCGAGTACAATGCTTGCTCAGATAAATACCCTTTTTGTAAAACAAGGAGTTACTCTTGATAGACGCATTGGCAGCTTCAATATTCCCCCAGCAAGTTTAATTGCATTTACAGCTTTGACCATGCTTATCTGTGTTATACTCTATGACCGTCTCTTTGTCAAGATTATGCAGAGATTGACTAACAATCCAAGAGGGATCACACTTCTTCAAAGAATGAGCTTGGGATTCATTACTCATCTTGTGATTATGATAGTGGCATTTTTTACTGAAAGATATAGACTTAAAGTGGCCAAAGAACATGGGGTAGTTGAAAATGGAGGACAAGTTCCTTTGACCATATTCATCTTGCTTCCTCAATTTGTGCTTATGGGAATAGGCGAAGCCTTCTTAGAGGTTGCCAAAATTGAGTTTTTCTATGATCAAGCCCCAGAAAGCATGAAGAGCCTTGGCACTTCATATTCCATGACTACAGTAGGGATTGGGAGTTTCATCAGCACTTTTCTTCTCTCCACAGTTTCACACATCACTGAGAAACATGGTCACAAAGGGTGGATTTTGAACAACCTCAATGCTTCTCATCTTGACTACTACTACGCATTTTTGGCTGTACTAAACTCTCTGAACTTCATCTTCTTCATGATTGCTACAAAGTACTTCGTGTATAGGGCTGAAATTTCAGATTCCATGAATGTTCTTGCGGAAGAACTGAAGAAGACAGCCAATGTGTCAAATCAAACGAATCTAAGGGACTAATTGAATAGAAATTGGTAAGTGAATGAAGATATAATAGCTATGTATCATAACTGATATAAAACTGTGGGATTGGTTGTGGGCTTTTAACCCATGTTGACAGATCTAGCGATCATTTTACTTTGCCCTATCACTCCTTGAGAAATGTTAACATTCGTATTGACAGGAGAATAAAATTGTATAAAGAAATATATCTTAATGAATTTGTGTATGAAATTTTTTATCATGAAATCTGGGGTAAAATTTTATCATCCCCCATCTGCTCCATGCAAGGAAAAACAATTTAAATCAGTGATGAAAGTGGCTTTAGATCTTAGTAGGAACTAAATTTTCGAGCCAACGATGACTTGAGCATCACCAAGTGTTTGTGTTTGATTCCTTGACTGAATCTGAATCCCAGTTAGGCCTCCTTTGTAACAACACCCTGGTCTACGGGGAAAGAGAGAAGCAAAACCTTGTTTAATGCACCTGAATATTCGAAGATAATTTGTAATGTTTCATTCAAAATAGTTGGCTAAATTGCACTTTTGATCTTCCAACTACTGTGTTTGATCAATTTTAGTCCTCGTATTTTTTTAATTTAGCAAATTTCATCTTCTTTTAGGTTAGGATCTAATTTTGACGGAACTGTCTCTATCCGTAGTTGGATAGATTCCGCTGTTACTATCAGAGCTCTACTTCCTTCTCTCTTTCTTGCGGTACTTTGTCAGTCTTCTTTTCCTTTCTCCAAAAGCTGGATTCCGTCATTGACATACGGTCTTCTTCCTCGTTCTCCCTCATTCTCCCTCACCAGAACTCTACTATGCCTTCTTCTTCCTCCTCTCTCACTCACCGGATCCAATGGCAGATGTTTGACTCATCTTCCAAAGCGTTCGTTTTGTTGCAAATGCTCTGGCCGCCGAGAGTGTGCGCCTCATCATCCACAAAACACGTTTAATTCTCACGTGGGCACTCCTCAAATTTCACAGACTCGAAGAAGCAGAACAATTCATGAACACCCACATGCACATCACCGAATCTTCCATGTGAGATTCTCTCATCTAAGGTCTCCGTGTGACCATGGTGTGTTACCCTCTCCGAAAGCGCACTCAAGGGACCATGGTGTGTTACGCTCTTCCTTCACTTTCTGTTCCATTGTTCACAAATTGAGGTGTTGGAGTTGATAGCTGAGGATGGTGTTAAGTACCCTTTTGATGATTTTGTGTAGTTTTACGATTTCTGGGTTTTGCAGGATTGAAAAACCGAAACTTTCTTTGGGGTTCTTCCAGAATGCTAATGTTTCTGGCTTGTTGAGGCCCAATGTAGTGACTTGCACGGCTCTTGTGGATGCTCTTTGTAAATTGTGAAGGGTTGATGGTGAAGTGTGTGATTTGGTTCAATGGATGGAGAAGGGTTGGGTTTGGATGTTGTTTTGTATTGTGCTTGGGCTTATGGCTATGTTGAAGAGAAGGTTCTGGTGGAGCTTTGCAGGAGAATGAGAGAAATGATAGACAAGGGTATTGATCATGATGTTGAGTTATGGCATACTATAGATGGGTTTTCCAAGTTAGGTGATGTGGAAAAGTTTACTTTCTGCGGTAGGAAAAGCTCTTAAACTTAGTCATGGAGGAGTGGGGGCAATAAAGAAAGAGTAGAGGAGGGAGGTAACCGAAGAGGGAATGTATGGGCAGCAATGCAGAAACTCGGCCACCAACGGTAAACTCCGGCCAAAGAGATAAGAGGAAGAGGAAAATCATACAGTCCTCGTTAGGGACAAAATTTGTTAAATAAAGAAAATATAGAAATTAAAATCTGCACAATTTTAATTGAGAGACTACAATTGAACAAACACTGAAATAAAAATGTAATTGAGTAGTTCTTCACTCTAAATACCCATACCTTGAATCAAATCAATACAAACAATTTCACATTATAGCTTATCAAAAGTTATCTTTGCTTTACAATCTTGACGTTTAAAGTGACATTTTTGCTTGTTTTCGGTTGACAGCATCAAAGGCCGAGACAGCCAAATTAGGAATAGGAAAAAAAAAATGTTGCCACACAATAATCATGGGCGGTCAATAATATTTTACGAGAAAAAAACAAGATAAGAAGAATTTTGGCTGCTACTGAAATATAGAATAGCAAGAATGCAAGATCTTGGTGAGGTATTCAGGATAAAACCTACATTAGATGAAGTATTCAGGGAAGGGGCGGGAGAAACTAATGAAATTGGAAGTACACTAACAGAAACTTCTTGGAAGGCAAACTTGCTTGGTGCCAGGATACTAACTCCAGCTGAAAATTATGAAGGTTCTATCATTTATTCATGAAAATGTTTTAGCGCATGCATGGTTCAACAACAGACTTCATATAAGCAAGTTGAGGCTGGTTGTCGAACAGTGACATTCAAAAAAGTTGATCCAAATGAATCATATAATCATAGATCATAGTATCCCTCATCATTCATTGACAACAACTAGGGAATTGTTTTTCAAAATTAAGAACAGTATACAGATATTATTAACAAATTGCAAGAAAATGTGCCAAATAACAAGCAGGTACACAGTTTAAACTCGCCCAAATGGCTTCTCAGGTATGGTCCAGCCATAGTTGCTACAGCATAAAGTAAATAAGAGTAGCGATAAAGCTACAGCAACCTGTGTCTCCATCTTACAAAATGACTGGCACTGTCTTATTGTGATTCTCGCTATCCACCAGTTCCGTCACACCCCTACAATAATACAGTTCAAATGTAAAGAACGATCAGACGTTATACAATCAAACACCTTCCATTGCAAAGATGAAAATTTTCTGCCTTGTTAAACATGTTGACGTTGATATTTGAGTTTCATATTGTAGGGGTGTGACGTTGATATTTGAGTTTCATATATGTATAGTTTCATGTTGACGTTGATAGATGAAACCAGTCTAACCAAATGCCAATTGCAAATATGCTAATATTTTGAAAAATAATGAATGAACCTAGCATTATTTTCAGGTTAAATTTTCTGGTCAATAAGCTTCTCAATCTCGCATATAAAAAGACTGCACAACATAAATAGTAGTATCAATCTTGGTTAGTGACCAATGCCAAAAAATGCTAGTAGACTAGCACATTGCGAGATTACCACTATTTAGATATTTTACATCCAAATTAAATAATTTATACTATACATATAAATGCTTCTAAAATATACTCCAAATTCATGACATATTCATAATTAATAAAATGTCATAGGTTTTAAGCAAAACATACAAGTAAATAACAATAAAAGTTGTAAAAACAAAATGATGTTGCTACTTGCAGTGTGGGTGTTGCACAACAGATAGAACCATGGGAAACTATATCCTATTATGGGTTTTTAAATTCTGAAAAGGGAGAAGGAAATATCAATGTTGCCCAAAAAAATCCCCAAAACAATGCTTTTTTCAGAGCAAAAATGATTTTTTTTAAGTTTTACTTCAGCACTGCTATGACTGATATTTTGGCCACTATTTGAAAATGCTTCACTCGGCTATAGCCTGCTATCGCTAATTGTGAATAGTAACAAAGAGCTTAGAAAAGGCACCTATAATGAACTCAAGTATAGGGAAAAAAAAAAATGAAATCATAATGGTATTAGGCTCCTCTTAATGTGAGAAAATGCATAAAGTGAAAAAGGGTGTGCCAACCCTTGTTATAAAGTCGGTTGAGTTTACAAAGTTTTTTTAATTCAAGTCAAGGAGATATACACCCTTACCTCCTCAATTTACACATTTCCTATGTTATATGAGGCAAATCCATCATAATGTACTATATATGCTATCCTCAAATAACTTCTGATATCAGAATTCATATTCCTACTAAAGAATATGACAAACATAATTCTTTTAGCAACATATTTCAATGAGAAGTGAGAACTGAATGTTGCACAAATCAAAGCTAAGAAAAACAAATATCCAACCTAAATATCAAAAATAGACCCACATGCAAGTAGTAAGAAATCCAAGCCTCTAAATAAAGGAAATTTGTCATCAATTCCAAATGAGTTCATTAGAATTTCATGTTATAATAAGCAATAATCATAAAAATAGTCCATAAAAAAAGGGAAAATTACAAAGTCCTCTTTGGAGAGATGAAACGTATTATACTTTAGTCCATTTTAGTGTAAACAAGCCACTTAGCCATGGTAAGCAACTACAAATGAGCCTCCCAACAACAATTTCACTGTCTCTACAACTTTCAACGTCACTCTCAACTAGTTTTTAACATCATATTAATTATTTCAGGACTTTTAGAAGATGAGATGAAGTTTTAAACGTTCCTCTGTTAATGGCTTTGAAACTACACAAAATTTTCCTTTCATCTTCTAAAGTCCCAAAGTTGACAGTAGTGATTCTAAACTTGTCAATAATGTGGATAATCACAGAAACAGAAAAAAAAATCCATAATCTTTCTCATATTAAAATGAAGTGTAGTGCATACTAGTCTCTCACGGATAGGGAGTGCAATTTACCCAAAAAAAGTTTCAGGTACAACTCTCAAAATCACAATTCGAATTCACCAATTACAATTAACAATTAACACACTAAAGCATATGATTAAAAAAGTTTCAGGCACAACTTTCCACTTTTTCTGACAAATCTTTGATTTTATCAAATTATTTTACCCATAAGAAATGTATTCATTAGTCAGACACCAACTTTCTCTAAGCTATTTAATTTAACAAGCAGCATCCATAAAAGTGGTTTCAACTATACCTAAATATTCAGCAATCAGCATCAATCACTTTGTTTGAATAACATACTACCAAAGTTTAACACTCTGAAACCTGGTTATGTAGTTTCATACTACCTCTGAAATTTAAGTTTTCCAAACATGTCTCTCTCATAACTCTTTAAATGTCTAATATATTCGTGTCCAACATTTTATTCATCTACTTCACTTATGTTTACTGACTGTTTTCAAGCCTGATCAGATGTAAAATCAGGCAGGTCCAATAAAAATTCTTTAAATGATTAAAAAGTAAAATGAGAGTACATATTTCGAGAAACAACCTTAGTATAAGCCTAACCAGTGGCCTGCAGCAACTCCCTTTCCGCATGCTCTCTAATTCTTCTCTCAAGCTCAGGCCTGAAATGCCTGATAAGACCCTGCACTGGCCATGCGGCAGCATCACCCAAGGCACAAATTGTATGCCCTTCAATTTGCTTAGTCAACTCCTGAAGCATATCAATTTCTTCTAGCTTGGCATTCCCAACTTTTAATCTTTCCATGACCATCCAAAGCCATCCCGTTCCCTCCCTGCATGGAGTGCACTGCCCACAGCTTTCATGCTTGTAAAAGTAGGAGAGCCTTGCAATAGCATCCACAACATCAGTTGATTTATCCATCACAATTACAGCTGCAGTCCCCAACCCTGACTGGACAGCCTTTAATGCATCATAATCCATCATAACATCATCACATATATGCTTTGGAAGCAGAGGAACAGATGATCCTCCTGGAATCACTGCAAGTAAATTATCCCATCCTCCTCTAACACCTCCACAGTGCCTCTCTATCAACTCCTTCAGTGGTATACTCATTTCCTCCTCAACAGTGCAAGGCTTGTTCACATGCCCAGACACACAAAACAACTTTGTCCCGGAATTGTTCTTCCTACCAAAACTGGCAAACCATTCAGGCCCACGCCTTAGAATGGTTGGAGAGACAGCCACAGTTTCCACATTTGTTACAGTGGTAGGACAGCCATACAGCCCTGCATTGGCAGGGAAAGGTGGCTTTAGTCTCGGTTTACCTTGTTTCCCTTCAAGGCTCTCCAAGAGGGCTGTTTCCTCTCCACAAATATAAGCTCCAGCACCATAGTGGATATGAACATCAAAATCATAGCCTGAGCCACAAGCATTCTTACCCAATAAACCAGCTGCATAAGCCTCTTGCCTAGCCTTTTCAAGATTCTTACGTTCATTCACATATTCACCCCTGATGTAGATGTAAGCAGCACTAGCCCTCATTCCCACTCCAGCAATCAAGCAACCTTCTAACAATTTATGCGGGTCATGCCGCATAATTTCCCTGTCTTTGCACGTTCCAGGTTCACTTTCATCAGCATTAACAACAAGATAAGAAGGGCGGCCGTCAGATACTTTTGGCATGAAAGACCATTTAAGGCCAGAAGGAAAACCAGCACCCCCACGCCCACGAAGGCCAGACTTCTTCATTTCATTCACAATCCAATCAGCACCCTTGAGTACCAAATCTTTAGTCCGATACCAATCACCACGCTTCATGGCACCTTTCAGAAAAGGATCATGCAGGCCATATAAGTTAGTAAATATCCTGTCCTCATCCTTAAGACCACCAAAATGGGTTTTCTCAGGAGGAGGAGGGGGTGGTGGAGGCTGTGGTGTACTAGCAGTTGAAGCACCTTGAGTGCTAAACAATCTCAAACCAAGGCCCCACTTCTCACTATGATGATGAACCAAGGCTGCCCTCCTTAAAGAAAGAATGCCCCTCATGGTTGCCTTACCTAGAAACAGCAATTCCAAGTTTTAGAATAAAAAATTTTGGTTTAATCAAATTGTCCATAACTAGATATCATCAAATAAAATCGGCAATTAACTTTGGCACTAACGATTAACACAGAAGTATATGAATCAAAACTCAAAATCACGATTCCAAATTACCAATTACAATTAACCGTAATCGAACCCTATTCAAATGCAATCAAATATAAACAAAACAAAAAACCACACACACACACACACAAAAAAAATCAATTTAGTGTTCATCACAATGTCCACACAATAATTTCATCCATAAAAAAAATAGCGTTTCGGAAAATTGTAGAAAACCCTATAAAAACTAAGATGCGTGATTGGTCTCACGCATCTGCAAATCTGGGAAAAAAGAAATGGCGGGTGAGATTGCATTGCACGCGAATCGTAACCCAGAGTGTGTTCGGAGGTAAAATTGAAGTAAAAGTAAATTAGGGCACAGATTTGAGGAGGTATGATAAGGATGGATTTAGAAGAAGAGAAAAGAGGGAAACGGAAAAGAACGTACCAGTGGCGACGCAATTGATCAGTGGGATCTGGTGAGTGTTGAAAATGGATCACCTTCTCCTGCTGCTTCTGTTGTGGGTGTGCTTATTGAGCTGAGCTTCTTCTTCTTCTTCTTTTTTTCTTAATTCTCAATTTATTTTTTTGGTACAAACAATTTGGGTTACACTACGGGCTTTTGTGTAGCCACGTTGCATTTTAGGAAAAGAGAATTTATGGTTGAAACTACATCGAGCACTAGTTGTGACGAAAACGAAATTCTGCCCTAACTTTCTTTCTTCTGTATGGAATTAGACAAAATTCAAAAGATAAAATTATGATTTCCTTATAAAACATTTATATTACTAATGAAAAATTAATAATTTAATTTTACTAGACATTTTTTTACTCTTATATCCTATCACATTCTCATTTATTAATTTTTTAAATTAATGATTATAAATAGATTTTTAACGCGATACACTATATACTCTAAGTGTGTCTGAAAATATTTTTAAAAAATTATAAATATAAATTAAATGTAAAAATTCACTATTAATGATATTTTAGTAAATTTGAATCCATATGTGAATATTTCATTATTTTTTCTTATCATTACATGTGTTTAGTATAAGTATATATATTATGTGAATATTCTTTGACATACGTCTTTTTGATAAGGAAAATATTTTAGTAAATTTATTTATTATATGTTATATTTTGTTAATTTATTTTATTTATTTTACTTAAGTTATTTGTGGTGATTGATGATTGAAATATTTCATAATAAATGATAGGAAGATTAGAAAAAAATACTTATTATATTTTTATTATAATTTACACTCATAATAGAATTTTGATGGTTTATCTTTTTTAAAAAATTATTTATAAAAAAATATATACTTATAATACATATTGTTTCATGTGTCTTATCTTTGTGAAAGTTAAGTAACATACTATTAGTTTATAAGAATTCTTACAAGTATTTTTTTTCTTCTCTAAAAATGAGTGATTAACCTAAATTCATGCACTTTTACAATCCCAATTCCCATAAGCATCTACTTATGTTACTTTGTTTTAAATTTAAATCCAATTCAAGTAATTTAAGTGTATGAAAAATGTATCCCTTATTCCTGCATATAAAGTGGTCATGTTCATCTTCGTTCTTATTTTTGCTTATTATCCCAACATGGCTATTTCCTTTCTTTTGCCCTCCTTCCTCACTTCACCTTCACTTAGAGCATGTGGAATACATAACATCTTTGTTTTTATATTTATTATTATAGCATTGAATGTTGGTTGTAATTATGAAGTTATTTGAATTTTAGAGAGTTTAAATTATGTAAGTTGTAGGATGTAACGAGATATCTCTCGCTGTGGCGAGAAAAAGCGTCCAGAATCAGGCTCTCTGATACTCTCTCACTAATGTTCTTGCTGTAGCGAGGAGCTCTCGCTGTAACTAGAATGACAAACAGCAAAGTAAAATTTTGTCTGATTTTTCACTACAGCGAGAGAAAGGTGATGAACAAAAGATTGTCGCGAATCCTCGTCAAAATATAAACAAAAATTAATGTAATACTAGGGTGCTAACCTAAGTCATCCTTTTTTGAATCATTGAGTATGTGACTAAATATCAAACATTTGGTGTGCAGTGTATTTAGAAAACAAGTAAAAAGGGAGAGTTTTGTGATTTCAAGTTCAATACAAAAAGCATGCAAGAATTCGTATATGCTTTCAATTATCTGTGTGTCTATTTTATTGATTGTTGAATCCATATATATACATGGCTGAATTATTCTAAATACAGAAAGGAGGGAAAAACATATAAACAATAGCTACCTAAAATAAGAAAGGAAAACTAGCTGCATATTTGTCCTAACAAATCTACTCAATCATTAATTAGAATAATCCTTGATTATAGCTTTGATATGATTGGATTTGCGCCTGATATGGAGAGGATTCCGTATTACCCCCCTCAAGTTGGAGTGGGTAAGTTGTGAACACCCAGCTTGGCTAGAAGGGAGTTAAACTATTTACATCCAAGGGATTTAGTAAAGATATCTGCCAGCTGAGTATGAGTGGGAACATAAGTGGTAAGAATAAGATTCTGAAGGAGAGCATCTCGAACCAGGTGGCAGTCGACTTTGATGTGCTTAGTTCGTTCATGAAATACCGAGTTTTTGGCAATGTGGAGCGCTACCTGGCTGTCACATGAGAGGCGCACAGGCTGTTTCAAAGGAATGTCAACGTCAGAGAGAAGTGGTTTTAACCATTGAATTTCACAAGTGGTTTAGCCATGGAACGATATTCCGCCTCAGCCAAGGAGCGAGACACAGTATGTTGTTTCTTTGTCTTCCACGATATCGATGAGTTGCCAAGATAGATAAACCAACCCGTGATGGATCTGCGAGTAAGGGGGCAGCTTGCCCAATCGGAGTCACACCAACTATGGAGTATGAGGCAATTATCCCTTCTTAACATAATACCTTGGCTAGGTTTCCCTTTCAAGTAGCGAACAACTCAGATAGCTGTCTGCAAGTGTTCTTCTCTCGGTTGCTGCATAAATTGTGACAGAACGTGTACATTGTATGATAGCTCTGGCCGAGTAAAACACAAGTATATCAACCTCCCCACAAGTCGGCAATACTGACTAGGATCAGACAACAGTGGACCGTCTGCCAGAGCTAGTTGATGATTCTCTTTTAGAGGTGTTGAGGCTGGCCTTGATCCTAGAAGCCCAGTTTCCATGATAATGTCCAAAGCATATTTATGTTGGTTAAGAAACAGTCTAGTGGGAGATCGAGCCACCTCCACTCCTAAGAAGTACGTGAGTTTTCCCAAATCTTTCATATGAAAGCATGTGTAAAGATAGTCTTTGAATTATTGAGTAGCGGAAGCATTATTACTACCAATAATGAGATCGTCAACATACACACAAACAACAAGCTGTTTGTGTTGGTGACTGAGCACGAACATGGAATGATTTGAGGTAGATTGCCGAAAGCCATATTGAAGAAGGGCAGTTGAGAGTTTGGCAAACCAGCAATGTGGAGCTTGGCGCAATCCATAAAGTGATTTTATTAGTTTGCACACCATTCCTTGGTGTTGAACAGCGAAACCAGGGGATAATTTCATGTATACTTCCTCGGCAAGATCACCGTGTAAGAATGCATTGTGAATGTCCATTTGGTGGAGATCCTAGTCTTTGGCAACAGCCACTGCTAACACTATGTGAATGGTAGCCATTTTCGCCACTGGTGCAAATGTTTCATTGAAATACATTCCCTCTACTTAATGATTTTCAAGCACAACTAAGCGAGCTTTGAATCGTTCAATGCTCTCATCCGAGTTGTACTTAATTCGATAAATCCACTTGCATCCCAATGCTTTCTTTTCGGGAGGCAAGATGGTGACATCCCATGTCCTATTGTCTTGCAGAGTCTAAATTTTGTTTGCCATAGCTGCTCGCCATCGAGAGTCCAGAACGGCTTGTTTAAAATGTATAGGTTCTTGTTCAGCTTCTATTGCTACAAGGAAAGCACAGTGGTTTCCAGAGAATTTATCATAAGCAATGTAATTATCTAATGAATAGAACTTACCTGAGGATCGTTGCGGAGAGAGAGAATGGATGGAAGGGCTTGTTGATCTGATGGCATTAGTCACATACTCTCTAAGACATATGGATGGGTGCTTCACTCGGTGCCCTCTGCCCAATAGAGTTTCGGGCGGTTCTTCGGCGATGTGGAAGGTGGAAGCATCATCAACATGAGGTGGAGATGTCACGATGTCTTCGGTTGCAGCAGGTGGATTGCCATCACTTGAGTTTTCTTCATTATGGGCCAAGAAGGGACCCCCCTGTCAAGTGAGGTGTAGTCCTGAGGAGATGCATTGTCCTCAAAAATCAAGTCAGCAGTAGTTTGAGTGATAACTGGACCCGAATCCGGTGAGATGGGTTGAGAAAGAAATGGAAATTCATGTTCCATGAACCTAACATCTCGGGAAATTAAAAAAAAAACATTATTTTCTAAATGATATAATCTCCATCCCTTCTTTCGAAAAGAATACCCCACAAAGACACACTTTCTAGATCTGCTTTCAAATTTGTCTCCCTTTATGAGTTGATTGTGTACGTAGCAGAGAAAGCCAAACACCCATAGATGGTCATAGCTAGGGGGCTTTCCATATACCATTTCATATGGAGTTTTCCCTTGAAGAATAGATGAGGGTGTTAAATTAATTAGGTGTTCGGCGGTCAAGATACATTCTCCCCAAAAACTGATTGGCAGACCTCTTTGAAATCTAAGAGCTCTGGCCACATTTAGAATATGTCTACGTTTCCGTTTCACCCTTCCATTTTGTTGGGGTGTTCCAACATGTGATGTTTGATGAATGATACCGTGTTGGATGAAATAAGACTCTAAACACATAAACTCTGTTCCATTATCACTTCATACCCTTTCGACAAATTTGTTGAATTGGCGCTCAATGAAAGCAAAGAAATTAATGAGACTTTTTGAAACTTCTTTCTTTTCACGCAACAGATATATCCATACTGATCGAGAATAATCATCCACTATTGTTAAGAAATATGAAGCTCCACAAAATGAGAGAGTTTTGTAAGGTCCCCATAAATCACAATGTATTAAATCAAAAATAGATGCAGCATGATAATTGCTTAAAGGAAATTTTCTCTTGTTTGTTTTAACCTCTCATACACTTCACATAATTTATCCAGGTTTTCAACTTTACAATCATTAGATATACTAGGTAGCATTCGAACAACTTTGTGAGATGGATGCCCCAGCCGCTTATGCCAAAGAACAAATTGATTTTCCACACTGATTTGACATGCTATATGAGGTCCTCGAAATAAATAAAGTCTATCCTTCCACTCACCCGCTCCAATCAGCATCCTCAAAGTGAGGTTCTGCATTGCATAAAACCTATTAGTAAATAACACCACACAATCCACTTCATCAATTTTAATTGTGATACTGAAATAAAATTGCATTGCAATTTTGGGATATATAACACATTCTGCAATTTCAGACCCCCTTCAAGTATCATAGTTCCTTCTTTATTGGCAAGAACTTGTTCTCCGTTTGGCAATCCCACTGCATATGCTGCCATACTGTGCACATCTTGCAAATTTCTTGAGTTTCCT